ATATGGAGGAAACTACAGTTGAGCTCTCTGATTTAACACAGACCCTATACCCTGCCTCTAGTCCAACATATTTCACTGGATATTTATTTAAATGCAACATTTTGGAAAAAAATCAAATTTGCTTTCCCAAATACCCAGGGAAACATGACTTACAGATCTGCATGTTCCCATTTCTCTGGAGCATCTCTACTGCCCCTGGACAACACTGTTTGGTCAGTAGCATCAACCACAGTGAAGCAGCAGGATCTGCTGCCTCCGCGCTCGTGCTTCACCCTGAGCAGCCCAGTCTCTCATCAGGATGTAAAGCGTGAGTCCTCTGGGACTTGGCTTATTGCCTCATAAAGCAAGATGGCAGGATTATTAATGTGGCAGAACTGCAGGATTTTCCAAGCAATTTGTGAGTTGCCATGGCAGTTCATTAGCTCCAAGACCAACGACCGCTTCCTACCTAGCATCAATCAAGTGGGAGACACATACTCATCTAAACACACAATGGATATTCACAGCAAAAATGCACTGAAGAGCACATCCTACACCTAACAAAAGCATTAAAAAATCACACTTTTCCAAGACTGATAGCCCATCCTCTGAAACATGCCTAGACAAAAGAAATTTACATTTCCCCATCGCTTTTTTTCCTAATCAGGCCATTTTTGGCCAATATATTTATTAGTATTTAGAGAACAGCAGGTACTTAGCAGACGGATCACATTTGCAGTCTCTATTGACTGCCCAAGGAGGCAGGAGTTGGACAGTTAGGTATAGCAGGTACTCTGAATTGCTCCTCTCTCTTGGCTTTCAATATTATGAACATAGTTTCTCTTTGTACACAGGCATGTAAGTAATCTCCATCTCCACTCAAGGAAGTATTTAAGAAAAATTTTAACTTCAATGGTATTTTTGCATTGGATTTAAAATTACATACACACTTAAACACTTCCTTGAACGCAAGTGGCATTATGTGTGTGCAAAAAAMCTCAGCACAGATTTAAAGACCTTCCTCAGTTAGGAGTTCAAGATAGGCCAAAGACTAAGCCGCACCTATTAAAGAGGAAAGAGACCTGGATAATTAAAAGGAGTCTTCAAAGGTAATCAGAGAGTAATTAAGAGAAACAAAGAGGTTGCGTGTACTAGAAGTTGTACCAGTAAGTAGGAAAACACAGCAGTAATGACACTAACAAGCTATCAACATATACTGCAGATATGGTGTTTTATCCTGAAGAAAGAGAGAGAGAAAGCAGGAGAGAGCAAGAGCAAAAGAGAGAGAAAGTTAAAAATTTCTACTGAGTTTTTGTTACCCTTTCTCTCATTTGCATTATTTCTCTTCTTGCCATCCTCTAATGGTTTCAAGGTATTTTAAAGAAAAAGGAAGGCTAAATATTTTGCATCTTCCTCTAGTTACAGCTGTTATGCTCAGAAAGCAACCCCACCATGCGTGTTCTGCTTTCCCAGAATTAATTTCCCCTTGCGTTCTTTTTTTCAAAGTAATTAACATATTTATTAATCCAGTAATGGGACCCAAATACTGGAAAACCCCACCTTTCCCATTGCCCCATTAGCTAAACTTGGCCTCAGATCAAACTTWTAGTATTTCAGCTCCTGCCAGTGTTCAGGTTTGGAATGTTTTTATGCTAGAGGATTTTCATCTGCTTCCCTGGCTGGGTTAATGGAATCCTAACACACATGAGAGATCACTATCTCACCAGGCTGCCACTTACTTGCTTGTTTCAATCATTTTGTACATACATGCTACCTTGTAGTACTTCCATCACAGCTAAGTGATGCCAGTAGGCGTTAAATGCAAAATGGAGAGGGATATAAAAYGATACGGAGGACTGATTCTCCTTTCTCCACTTGAGAACAACGTACAAGCACTTCCACCAGCTGGAATAATTACAACAAATTWGTCAAGAAAATGGGGGAAAAACTACAGCTGTACAGAGAGTCAGAKGGCACCTTTTCTTAAAACCAGATTCACCAACAAACTGTGTATGTCTGGCATAAATCCTTACASCTAGTACAGTATGGAGGCTCAAAGAAGAAACCTCCAAGAAATCAGACCATAGATTAAAGAAACCAAAGATTTGCCTTATCCATTTGCTTCTTGGAGAATAAGGACAGAATTAGTTACTACTGAGAAGTCAAACAGCACTCTATAAATGCTGACCTGAYGGAATTTTGCAGACCTTCTCCTACCAGGATTGGGAGGTAAGTCATCTCACTTTTGAAAAAAAATACATATTTTTTTCAAGAACTAGTATCAGCAAGAGACATAATTTTGTCTTTTCAGCCCTTTCCATGAAAGAGCAGAGTTCAGCTGTCCCATCTTCACAATCATTTAAGTTTCTCCTATAGGAAATGTCTGCATGAAGATCCTCCTACCCACACTGCAACATCCATCAACATGCTTGCTCTTGCCGCCAAAGTTAAGGTCAGGCTAAAAGATCTCTAATAGGATTTGTAKCAGACTTCAGGACCAGGACCACAATGCCAGAATGAGAGTGCATAGGTCTTTGAGACATCTTTTTGGAAATACACCATGGGGCTCTGGTTTAGTAACAAAGCAATAACTATTTTCTCCGTAGAGAAGATGAATGACATGGCCCAAGCTGAAGAACCACACAGGGACCTTAGAGTGATGAAGAACAAACCACCTGTGGGTCTCAGGGGAAGGAATCACCTGTCTGAGGCAGGTACTAGAGAGGCTCAAGTGATGCTCAGACAGACTTGAAACTCCCCWGCTAGGTACAACCATCATCTTCCTCAGGCTGCACCAAGAATACTCCACATCTTGCACCACTCTCCAGCAAAGCTGCTGTTGTGCTCCATGTATCTAGCATTTCCAACTAAAAGATGTAGGGAATGGGGAACATAAAGCTAGAYACAATCACACACACACAAAAAAAAGCTCATACAAAAAGGTGTATGAGTGGTACATGAGTCACTTTTACCAGTAAAAGCCCATCCCCTCAATCTGACAGGCTTTGTGAAAGTAGGACAAGACCATACCAGGAGCTGCATATTATGAAAACTAGAAAACAAAAAAAAAAAAAAAA